ACACGCTGGCGCCCAAACCCTGCATACGTTGTGAGTCCTCTCCACTCAAACGACAACTAGTGTGTTACCAAAGCTGGCACAGGCTGATTTCAGTATTCTACTGAAAAATCTGACACCAGAGCTTCAGCAACGTGGCAAAGCGTTTTCTGTCCACGCAAAGTTTCTACAATGCCCGGAGAGTCTCGCCACTAACGGCGTGGAGTGAGGTGCTGCTCCGCTGCCCTTCCTCTTGGAGAAAGGACGGTTGTACTGTGTCATTTGTGAAGGACTGAGAAATTCCACAGTCATCATGCACACTTACCTTCCCTCCTGAAATCTTCACTCACCAGGTTTAAGCTGCATTCACAGTCACCCTCCTCTCAAGGGTGCCCAGGCGCCGCGTGCACATGCACAGAACGCTGGCAAGCCCCTGAGTGCACGCCCTCCGGCTGCAGAGCAGAGGATGAGGCACAGAGAGGGAGACCCAGGACGGGGGGTGGGGGGTGTGCGTGTGTGGCTAACATGGGCTCACCCCTAGTCTCCGCAAACCACAGTCTGCTGTGCCCATGGCCATGGAGTGCACTCACACGATCGCCTGGCATCTGCTCCCACCACAGCACCTCACCAGGGTCCCCATGTCGTCTCCCCACAAGGAGGGGAGCACATGAGCACGTGGCTGGTGGAGGAGCGGGGTCGCTGATCCAGTGTGTCTGACTGTGGCCTGTGAGGGACACTGAGGTGGCATAGGGTAGGGGGTAACCCTGCAGCACTGCCTCATGGCCACACCCCCAGCAGAGACTGAGTTGTGATGACTAAGCACAGATAAATTTCAAATCCTCCAAAACTTGATTTCCAGGGTTTTTTGTGTTTCTTTCATCTAAACTCAGAAAACTGGAAAGCCAGACAGACCAAAACCATGCACATCTGACGACCTCAGAGGATCAAAGGGGGGCCCCACACTGTGTCAACTCCAGGGGCACAGCTGCCGGCACCAGCACGTCCCTGCAGAGGCACAGCAGCCAGCCATCACATGGTGTGCGCTGAATGGCGCATTCCACCCCATGCAACACCCCGCTCACTGCGCCGCAGACAGCAGCGTGCCACCTCCTGTGGGCCACAGCCGACCCAAGTTCTGGGGCCTCCAGGCTGGCTGTGGGAAGGCGAGCTGCTCAATCATCGTCTCTCCCAGATGAATGGAAACTAAAATTCACAGAATTCTCTGGGCAACACAGAGAGCAGCACCAGGACACCATCCTACACATGGGCAGCTACACAGGAGTGGGGCTTCTGAGACAGGAAGTACAGCAGGGCCAGCATGAGCCTGGAAACACCTGAGGCCGCAGAGTCTGCTGCCCCCAAGAGGGCACCTCGGCCTCCAGCTCCAGACACCCAATCCTTACGGAAAGGAGCTTTCTGCTGAGGCCACAGAAAGGGCCTCTGTCCCTCACAGGCAGGGACAGCGAAGGGGGCACATGCCCAGAGTCCACACTCACCCGGGTTGTAGGATAACGTCTTCGTATAAGGCTTTTTGTCGGTTAGAAAGGCGACACTTCAAAACATGCTCGTATTTCTTTGTCAGTTGCTTTTCCACATCTCTCTTAGTTCTCCTCAAAATAAATGGCTGTGTCACCTGAAAATAAAAAACTGTTTACTGTTTTCTTTCCAAAAATGCTGCTGTAACACGTTTACAATGAGGCATACACGTTTAATCACTGAGCTGAAATGGCAGAGCCCAACCTACCCTGTGTAACCTTATGACCACCTTATGGTAGTAATCCTGGCTCTCTTCACTGGGGGCCCTCAGAGGGGAGCTCAGGTAGGGTCTGGAGATCCCTGGGACCAGGAAGTGCACCATGGTCCAGAGCTCCAGGAAGGTGTTGTGCAGCGGCGAGTCGATCAGAAGCAGGCGTTGTTGGCTGCAACCAGGACAAGAGACAACACTGGAATTCTCCAGCCACGGGGCTGGATGCAGCAGCGTCTTCTCGGACAATGTGTGAGAAAAGGGACAGTTATTTGACACTGTGAATGTCAACGTGCACATGACTGAAAAGGGGGGCTGCATTGACCCAGCTCTGGGGCTTTCTGGCCCACGTGCTGGGATGAAGATGAAAAGCAATTCTCTAGCTCAAAGGCCATTTTTTGTGTCTGCAATTACGCAGATTTCTTCAAAAGAACCTTTTACATCAACAGCAAAGAACACTCAATGACAAGCACGGAACACACAGACCTCTGCAGGGTGAAAACCGCTTCCCAGTGCCTCTCGGTCATGCCTTTCACACGCTGCATCTCATCAATGACCAGACACTTCCAGCGCACTCGTGTGAAGGCGGTGAAGCCCCGGAAGAACTGCGTGTAGGACGTGATGCAGACGTGGAAGCTGTTGGGTTCGGCCCACTCCTGCAGCACAGAGAGGATAGCTCAGTGCCTTCGCACTCCACTGTCTTCCAAAACCACCTTGAGGACACACGCTTCCCAAAGCTCTCCACCCAGTGACTCCGTTCCCACCTATAATTCTACTCGCTTTTTTAAATAACTTGCTATTACCGCACATAAAATGGCTGCGTTTATGTTTTTATCTCTTCCTCTAGGGGTCTAAAGCAGTTTCGTTGACAAATTAAGAAGCTATTCTGCAGGCGCTGACAATTACCATTTGGAAAATACTGAGATTATAGCAGAGGATCCTGAAGCAGGGCGAGCTCTTCTAGTATCTAATCAAAACAAGGGGAAGTGTGCTCAGAAAAATAAGAGATGTCAACATCTGTATTGCAACTGACTGCATTATACACTTTCTAAAAACAAACTAAAAGCCAGACACAGAACTATGGCTTGAATGTGTTCCCTCCAAAATTCAGGCTGAAACCTAACGCCCATGGTGGTGGTATTGGAAGTGGACACTTCCCTGCTCTCAAGGATGAGCTTGTGCAGTAGGAAAGGGCTGGAGGGAACCAGCCTGGAGCCTTTTGCCCTTCCATCCGTTCCGCCAGGTGCCCTCCAAAACATGCAGCAGCAAGGCCCTATCTGGGAGGCGGAAACCTGGCCCTCACCAGACACTAAATCTGCTGGCATCTGGATCTTGGACTTCACAGCGTCCAGAACTGTGAGAAATAAATGTCTATACTTACAAATTACCCAGTCTGTGATATTTTGTAATAACATCAAAAACAGACTAAAACAGTAAAAAAGAAAATACTACTGAAAGCTCACTTTTTCTCACTTTTTCAGTAAACACTACTCAACACAATGTCGTCTAATGGTCCAAAATGTTCTACTCAATGGAAAGCTGTGATGAGTCTACCTTTAGTGACCTAGTACTAGAAACTATAGGGCAGAGAAAAATTTTTAATAAGTTAAAATTTGTTCCAGAAACGTCATCTATTAGGCACGTTGTGCAAATGTTTCTATGGGTTTTAAATTCAGATCTGGGGGCACCCAGCTTCTCCTCTGTGCCTGTGGAAGTCAGCAAGGCCTCCAGGGAAAAGTGCCGCACTGCCCCAGAGAAGACCATTTCCGGAGGAAACTGCCCCACTTTCTGGGCAATGACACTGAGCTCTGTGCACACCTGGGCCTGCGAGGGTGTGGCCCTTCTCGCAGGGAACGGCCAGGCCGAGGCGGTACTGTCTATGCTTTCGAGGGGAACAACATAAAGGTTTGTTAACTCATGAATGAGTGATTTTTAATAATTACATTAGTAAGCATGTCTTCACATTTTTTAATGTGTCTTTTATAAAAATTAAGATGGCTTTCTGTTTAGCTTTATTTTATGTTTAAAAAAAAATACCTGTCTCTTTGCTTTGAGTTCTCTGTGACTGCCAATATATGAGAGGATTTTGAGCCCGGGACACCAACGTTTCAATTCAAGCTCCCACTTGAGTATATTACAACTTCTCACAACAACAAGATGGGGGCCCCAATTACCTACAAAGGAAAAAACAGAATTTTCCACGTCAAAGTATCTGTCATGTCCAGGCACTTAGCCCTGTGTCTGACCAGAGACGCTTCCTCAGTATGAGTACGTGTGACATGAACCACCACACGACTGAGGCAGACTTGGGGGGAACAAGTGCATTCGTCTGGAGCCAGCACACCGCCCAGAAGCTGCTCCTTGGCCCCCAGGGTGCTGCTGCACAAGCAGCAAGCCTGGCTCAGAGGAGACCTCAGTAGACACACATTGAATGAGCAGTCCCAAGAACACCCTGGTGTTCATTCAAACCACTCTTGAGCTCCTCCAAGAGTCCGGAGGAATGTGCAACACTTAGAAAGTAGACTCACAGACGAAGAGAGCCCCAGACCCTGCTCAAGTCCTTCCCACAAGCCAGGCGACCATGCAGCAGGCGTCTAAATTGTGTTTTGTCAGCCAAGGGCTTGTGCCCATCACTGCTTCCCAAGCTTTAGTGAGGGCACATCCAAACCATCCTAAAATACATTGTTTCAAATTTCCTTCTTCAGAAAACTATGATTTTTTTTTTAAGATGGAGTTTTGCTCTTGTCACCCAGGCTGGAGTCCAACGGCACAATCTCGGCTCACTGCAACCTCTGCCTCCCAGGTTCAAGTGATTCTCCTACCTCAGACTCCTATGTAACTGGGATTAGAAGCGCACGCCACCATGCCCAGCTAATTTTCGTATTTTTAGTAGAGATGCGTTGTCACCATGTTGGCCAGGCTGGTCTCAAACTCCTGACCTCAGGTGACCCATCTGCCTTGCCCTCCCAAAAGTGCTGGGATTAGAGGCAAGAGCCACTGAGCCTGGTGAGAAAACTAAGGTTTTTAAAGATTATTAGAGGAATACACATGAATTTCAACTTCTGTGCTATAAATGAAACATAAACCAAGTTACAAGACAGACTTAGTAGACTTTAAACAAGTATTTACAACACATCCATCTACAGCCATTACCGCTAATATGCAAAGCATTCCTGCTGATCCTGGAAAAGAACCACCCAATAGAAAAATAAACAAAGGATATGAACAGAAGTGTCACAAAGAAAAAAATATAACAGGACAATAAACTCTTTAAAAGACACAACCAGCTGGGTGCGGAGGCTCACACCTGTAATCACAGCACTTTCAGAGGCTGAGGCAGGCAGATCACAAGGTCAGGAATTCAAGACCAGCCTGACCAATATGGTGAAACCCCGTCTCTACTAAAATACAAAAATTAGCTGCGCATGGTGGCGTGCGCCTGTAATCTCAGATACTCAGGAGGCTGAGGCAGGAGAATCACTTGAACCTGGAAGGCGGAGGTTGCAGTGAGCTGAGATCATGCCACTGCAACTCATCCAGCCTGGGCAACAGAGCAAAACTCCACCTCAAAAAAAAAAAAAAAAAAAAAAGACACAATCCAAGGAGTAAGTAAACACAAATAAAATCCAGATGGTATTTTAACCCCCAGTAAAAAACAAGATTTAAAAAAAAAAGAAGAAGAAAAGAAAAGCTGGCTAAGCACAATGGCTCACAGCTGTAATCTCTGTAATCCCAGCACTTTGGGAAGCCAAGACAGGAGGATCTTTTGAGGCCAGGAGTTCGAGACCAGCCTGGGTAACATAGTAAGACCTCATCTCTCCAAAAA